TTCTGTGCTGTCCACAAGGTAACCATTAGCCACATATGGCCTGAAAACAGCACTTGAAATGTGGCCTGTGCAACTGAAAAACTGAATTTTTAACTTAATCTCGGTAAAATATAAAACCTTAAAATATATAATAGGTAATAAATGCACATTTATAAACTAGTTACAAACTTGTTACTTGATATTTCACTTACAGCTTCTCAAGCTCTTAAAATTTGCATTGTCGAAAGTAATTACTTAAAATTCAAGCAGCCAAATATGCAAAATTAAAATACTTAGCAGGTCCAAGCACATATCCATATAGTTACTGCAGATCAAGACAACATTTAAAAAAAAAAAAAAAAAAGCAAACAGCCAAAATTCTTAAAAAAAAACAAAAAAACCAAACCACAAATAAGACTGAATTTGTTAGAGGCAGCCAAGGAAACTTCATGCGAAAATTTCATAATCATCACAAGTTTTTTTTGAGATCAAGCATCCAAACAGGTATATGATCTTTTCAGCAAAATACAATGCCAAGCACTATTATGGATCAGGCATTTTACCTGAAGATTTATTTTTTGTTCTTGAACCCTCAATGATAGCAGTAGAAAACAAAAGCAGCTGAAATGTGAAATAATCCCTAGAAAAATCAAGAATTAAAAAAATTTACAACATTAGTAAAAAGCAATTACTCAAAGAACAAAAAGTTGGGGCTCTCACGTTTTAATAATACTTTCAGATGTTAAGTTATCTTACAGGTATAAAAGGATGTAACACTAACTAATTCTTTCAATTACAGATCCATAAGCTATTACTGTACTCAAATATAAATAGGCTTAGAAATGATATTTAACAAAGGGAAGCTGCCATTTTCACTGTAAGATACATATATCAATAAAATATGGGAATAACATTTATTAATCTGGGCTTCTTTGCCTAGATGCCACTGAAAATTACTTTTTCAATGCTTCTCTAGGTTAAATGTAACTAAGAATTGATTGTTAAACATGTAGCTACCCTTCATCTGCGCTGTTATAAACTTAATGTAATATTAATACTAATTCTTCAGGAGGAAACAGAATTTGTGACTCTTTTGATGACTTCTTAAAAAATAGTTTATACTCTTGGGAATATTCTGGAAATCAAACTTTGGTAAATTTGCCAAGGAAATGTAACTAAAATAAAATGGAACACAAACCAGAAACTCTAAAAACTACAATATACAAAAGGAATACTAAACCTCCACACTCAGACATAGCTTTCTTGGCCCTTTTTGCTCCTAACTTACCTTAAAAAGCTAACTCAGGAGTAAGCATTTTATAAAATTAAGTACCTAACAAGCTAAAAGTCGTCACACGAGTTGTCCAAGAAATTATTAGATTACCAGTTATTTCCCAACCATCAAATCAAACTGAGATCATTTTCCTATGCCCTCTCTTTATCACAAAACAAGAAACTAAAACTTAAAAGCCATTATACTGATTTGCTAAAATCTAAACGAATATTTTCCTAAATGAGTTGTCCACATGAACAAGAAAAAAAAAATGGAACTATTGAATACAAACCAAAATAGAATAAACTATACTTTGAAGTAAAATTTCAGGTTCATTTCTCTTCAATCACTATGGAGAGAAAAGCACCAGTCCCGAAAAAACAAAGCTAATATCTTTATCTGATTTTCAAGCTTATTACTATGTACTTTTAATATTAGACAAATGTATTAAATCTTAATGTATGAAGGCTCATAATGGCAATAAGAGTCTAGCAATGTGGGTAATATGTAGCAAGTTTTAAAAGGAATTTACAGTTCAGTTTCAAACTCTAACTCTTCCAATTTATTTGGGAATATAACGGGATAATTAATAGTGCCTACCTCACAGGGGAGTGGTAGAAATAAGTAATACCTCTTAAATGCCTAGCAATATACCTGGAATAGAGCAGGTGTTCTGAGTAGTAGCAACATAATTATTGGCAAGAAGGGACTCTGAGCTTGTTTTCTGCAATCTGAAGTGGTAATAACGATGAAACCTGCTGGACCTGTCTTAGGATCCTTGTGAAGATCTAAGGAGATAATGCAAATGAAGGCAGTCTCATGGAAAAAGAAGAGGCTTGAGTTTTGGACAAGTCACAAACCTCTTTGAGCCTCATTTTCATAAAATAAATTGCAAGTCATAACACCTAATCTCACACAGTCTTTAATACTGATGATTAAAAATAAATCTAATAAGTGTGAAAATACGTAAAAGGCACTAAATGTTAGCTGAATGTATAAAAAATTTTACTACTGCAATATTCAAGTAAGCTGGGAAATACCAATTCAAACAGCTATTACAACATGCAACAGTACATATCAAACGTTACATGAGAACTATCATTAGATTTATAAATCAGGATTGAATATTCTGTCAGAATGAATTTGAGGAGTAGTATTACAATGTGTGTATCTCCTATGCTTTTGTTCTAAGTGGAGTATATAAGGCTTTTTCTCTTCTGCTTCTTCTAGAGGCTGTGAGATGTTTAGCAGGCTGACTATAATCAGTATGCACAGGTCACAAACTCAGATGCCTAAAGATGTAGCTCATTTTAACTATTTTATAAGAAAAAAGAACAGTAGAATTGTGACAATAAATGCCCACTGAATTTGGTCTTGGTTTATTTTTAGAGAATAGAGGGGCAAACTGGTACATGCAGTCCTATCTAAAAGGGGCAGCTGCTGTTAAGAGGAGAATGCCACGGGAAAATAAAGGCCTAGGGTGGCCAGATGTAGATTTAAAGTAGGTGGAAATTTAGGTATTCCGGTGAATATTTTCATTTCCAAATACTCAAAAAACATATCTGATACTGTGTAAGCCAAATAAAACACAACTGTGAGTCAGATGTGGCCAATATTTAGCCACCTTTGTATTAAACAGGGTAAATTCCATGAGGGTAGGGACCTTGTAGATTTTGCTTATCCCAGAATGGGGCATAGTGTTTTGCACATAGTAAGTGCTCAATAAATATTTCTTGAACAACTAATGAAGCAACAGATCTCAGAAGACTAAGGAAAACACCTTAGTGTTACACCTTAAGCAACAAGTGAAGAGCCAATGAACAGAAAAATGCCCCAAAGCAAAGGGTTGTTGTTGCCACTGACTTGAGCACTTTGACTACTTGTGGTTTTGGTGACTCAGCTGAGGTCAGGTCTTTTTTTTTTTTTAATTTTTAAGTGTATTGACTTTTTTATCCTGGAAATTCCTATCAGCCACTCAACCAAAAATCACTGAATATGTAAATATGCCAAGATTACCAATAAATGTCTGTCTGTTTATTATACATAGTCAGGTATTCAAAGTATGTATGAACAGGAAAAATGTTTTAAATATCCATTCCTGAGATAATAAGGCAAAGCACAAAATGCTAACATATTTAGAAAAATCAAGCATCTAAGAACCAGCAGCTCTGACTAAATTAGAACTTGTGCAACACGAACAACTGAGAATTCTTTCTTAATCCCTTTATCTTGCTCCTCAACTATTAAAATAACTGACTAACTGCTAGATTCTGGAGAATATAAAACTAGACTCATTTGAAACCCCAGGTAATGTAATCATGTGAAAATAAAGAAACAGCAAGTGTGAAATGATTTTCTTTTTTTTTTTTGGAGACAGAGACTCGCTCTGACACCCGGGCAGGAATGCAGTGATGCAATCTAGGCTCACTGCAGCCTCTGCCTCCTGGACTTAAGCAATTCTCTTGCCTCAGTATCCTGAGTAGCTGAGACTATAGGCATGTGCCACCATCAATATTTTTTTTCTTTTTAATTGTTCTAAGGAAAGGGTGAAAAACATTGCTTTGAAAAAAGCTTTATTTATTTTCACTGGACTTAGGCAATGTCTACTAATCTTTAAATTGCCCAAGCAGTCAGCAGTACCTGAGTGAATTTAAAAACAGGGGAGAAGGTTGCTCTTACTGACAGTGAAAGCACTGGAAAAAAGCCACAGAGCTGAACTGAAAATGAAAACTCTTCCTGCTCCCAGGAACAACTTCCATATTCAAACAAAAAGTCTTCCTATGACAAGCTACTGACAGGCTCACAAAAGAGAAACAACTTTTATTCTACCTTTTTCTGTTTGAGAAAAAAGGTGACAGTATGACTGACATGCGTAATGAGAGATTCTATAACTTGTAACACTATATAACTGAGAAAGTGCATTAACTATGTAAGTACATGCAGTAATGGGTGAGGGGAATCACAGCAAAAAAATTAAATACACACCTACTATAGAGGCAGAATAAAATAAGGGAGGGAGGGAGAGAGCAAGGGAGAGCGAGAGGAAGGAAGGAAGGGAGAAAGGGAGGGAGGGAAGGAAGGGAGGGAAATAACCAGCTTGCATCACAATGATAGAATTAAATTCACACTTACCAATATTAACTTTAAATGTAAACGGGCTAAATGCCCCATTTAAAAGACACAGGGTGGCAAATTGGATAAAGAGTCAATACCCATCAGTGTGCTATATTCAGGAGACCCATCTTATGTGCAAAGATGCACATAGGCTCAAAATAAAGCCATAGAGGAATATCTACCAAGCAAATGGAAAGCCAAAATAAGCAGGGGTTGCAATGCTAGTCTCTGATAAAACAGACTTCAAACCAACAAAGATTAAAAAAAAAACAAACACACAAACAAGGGCATTACATAATGGTAATGGGATCAATCCAACAAGAGCTAACTATCCCAAATATACATGCACCCTATACAGGAGCACCCAGATTCATAAAGCAAGTTCTTAGATACCTACAAAGAGACTTAGACTCCCATATGATAATAGTGGGAGACTTTTAACACCCCACTGTCAATATTAGACAGATCAACAAGACAGAAAATTAACAAGGATATCCAAGACTTGAACTCAGCTCTGGACTAAGCGGACCTAACGGACATCTACAGAACTCTCCACCCAAAATCAACAGAATATATATATTGTTCTCAGCACCACATCACACTTATTCTAAAACTGACCACATAATTGGAAGTGAAACATTCCTCAGCAAAAGCAAAAGAATGGAAATAATAACAGTCTTTCAGACAACAGGGCAATCAAATTAGAACTCAGGATTAAGAAACTCACTCAAAACCACACAACTACATGGAAATGAAACAAGCTGCTCCTGAATGACTACTGGGTGAATAACTAAATTAAGGCAGAAAGGAATAAGTTCTTTGAGACCAATGAGAACAAAGATACAACATACCAAAATCTCTGGGACATAGCTAAAGCAGTGTTTAGAGGGAAATTTATAACATTAAATGCACACAGGAGGAAGCAGGAAAGATCTAAATTCGACACCCTAACATCAAAATTAAAAGAACTAAAGAAGCAAGAGCAAACAAATTCAAAAGCTAGCAGAAGACAAGAAATAATTAAGATCGGAGAAGAACTAAAGGAGACAGAGACACGAAAACCCCTTAAAAAAAAAATCTATGAATACAGGAGCTGGCTTTCTGAAAAGATAAACAAAATAGATAGACCGCTAGCCAGACTAATAAAGAAAAGAGAGAACAATCAAATAGACACAATAAAAAATGATAAAAAGGATATTACCACTGATCCCACAGAAATACAACCTACCATCAGAGAATACTATAAATCTCTACATAAAGAGACTAGAAAATCTAGAAGAAATGAATAAATTCCTGGACACATACACCCTCCCAAGACTAAACCAGGAAGAAGTCGAATCCCTGAATAGACCAATAACAAGTCTGAAACTGAAGCAATGATAGCCTACCAACCAAAGAAAGCCCAGAACCAGACGGATTCACAGCCAAATTCTACCAGATACAAAGAGGCGCTGGTACCATTTCTTCTAAAACTATTCCAAACAGAAAAAGAGGCACTCCTCCCTAACTCATTGTATGAGGCCAGCATCATCCTGATACCAAAACCTGGCAGAAACACAACAAAAAAAGAAAATTTTAGGACAAAATCCCTGATGAGCATCGATGTGAAAATCCTCAATGAAATATTGGCAAACTGAATACAGAAGCACATTAGAAAGCTTATCTACCACAATTAAGTTGGCTTCATTCCTGGGATGCAAAGCTGGTTCAACATAGGCAAATCAATAAATGTAATCCATCACTTAAGCAGAACCAATGACAAAAACCACGATTATCTCAATAAATGCAGAAAAAGCCTTCGATAAAATTAAACCCTTCATGCTAAAAACTCTCAATAAACTAGGTATTGATGTAACATATCTCAAAATAATAAGAGCTATTTATGACAAACCCACAGCTAATATCATACTGAATGGGCAAAAGCTGGAAGCATTCCCTTTGAAAACCAGCACAAGATAATGATGCCCTCTCTCACCACTCCTATTCAACATAGTATTATTGGAAGTTCTGGCCAGGGCAATTAGGAAAAAGAAAGAAATAAAGGGTATTCAACGAGGGAGAGAGGGAGTCAAATGGTATCTGCTCGCAGATGACATGATCGTATATTTAGAAAACCCCATCATCTCAGGTCCAAATCTCCTTAAGCTTCGGCAACTTCAGCAATCTCAGGATACAAAATCAATGTGCAAAAATCACAAGCATTTGTATACACCAATAATAGGCAAACAGCCAAATCATGAGTGAACTCCTAGTCACAACTGATACAAAGAGAATAAAATACCTACGAGTACAACTTACAAGGGATGTGAAGGACCTCTTCAAGGAAAACTACATACCAGTGTTCAAGGAAATAAGAAAGGAAACAAACAATTCACATGAAAAAATATTCCACACTCACAAATAGGAAAAATCAGTATCACATAAATGGCCAGACTGCCCAAAGGAATTCATAGATCCAGTGCTATCCCCATCAAGCTACCAATGACTTTCTTCACAGAATTACAAGAAACTACTTCAAATTTCATATGTAAGCAAAAAAAGAGCCCATATAGCCAAGACAATCCTGAGCAAAAACAACGAAGCTGGAGGCATCACGCTACCTGACTTCAAACAATACTACAAGGCTATAGTAACCAAAACAGCATGATACTGGTACCAAAACAGATATATAAGACCAATGAAACAGAATAGAGGCCTCGGAAATAACACTACACATCTACAACCATCTGATCTTTCACAAACCTGACAAAAACAAGAATAAGGAAAGGATTCCCCATTTAATAAATGGTGTTGGGAAAACTGGCTAGCCATATGCAGAAAACTGAAACTGGACCCTTTCCTTACACCTTTTATAGAAATTAACTCAAGATGAATTAAAGACTTAAATGTAATACCTAAAACCATTGAAACTCTAGAAGAAAATCTAGGCAATACCATTCAGTACAGAGTTATGGGCAAAGACTTCATGACCAAAACACCAAAAGTAATGGCAACAAAAGCCAAAATTGACAAAGGAACCTAATTAAACTAAAGAGCTTCTGCATAGCAAAAGAAACTATCATCAGAGTGAACAGGCAACCTACAGAATGGGAGAAAATTTTTGCAATCTATCCATCTGACAAAGGACTAATCCAGAATCCACAAGGAGCTTAAACAAATTTACAAGAAAAAAACAAGCAACCCCATCAAAAAGTGGGCAAAGGACATAACAGACACTTTTCAAAAGGCAACACTTATGTGGCCAACAAACACATGAAAAAAAGCTCATTATCACTGGTCATTACAGAAATGCAAATTAAAATCCCAATAAGACAGCATCTCACACCAGTTAGGATGGCGATCATTAAAAAGCCAGGAAACAATAGATGCTGGAGAGGATGTGGAGAAATACGAACACTTTTACACGGTTGGTGGGAGCGTAAATTTATTCAACTACTGTGGAAGGCAGTGTGGCGATTCCTCAAGGATCTAGAACCAGAAATACCACTTTACCCAGTAAACTCATTACTGGGTATATACCCAAAGGATTAGAAATCATTCTACTATAAAGACACATGCACATGTATGTTTACTGCAGCACTATTCACAATAGCAAAGACTTGGAACCAACCCAAATGCCCTTTAATAATAGACTGGATAAAGAAAATGTGGCACATATATGCCGTGGAATACTATGCAGCAAGAAAAAAGGATGAGTTTATGTCTTTTTCAGGAACATGGATGAAGCTGGAAACCATCATTCTCAGCAAACTAGCACAGGAACAGAAAACCAAATACTCCATGTTCTCACTCATAAGTGGGAGTTGAACAATGAGAACACATGGACACAGGCAAGGGAACATCACACACCAGAGCCTGTCAGTGGAGCAGGGAGTGGGCTAGGGGAGGGATAGCATGAAATACCTAATGTGGGTGATGGGTGCAGCAAACCACTATACATGTGCATACCTATGTAACAAACCTGCATGTTCTGCACATGTATTCCAGAACTTAAAGTACATTAAAAAAAAAAAATGGGCACAGCATCTTTGAGCAGGAATCTGGCAAATAATTATCAAAAACAGGAATGTACATATCCTTGAATAAGCAAGGCTTCCAACCCACAGACATACTCATACACATACAAAATACTGGGAACAGTTTAAATATCCATCTATGTACACGACTGGTTAATATATTGCAGTTTATCCATCTATGAAATATAAGGCAATTGTAAAGAATGATGAAGGTCACCTGGAATAATTGCTATCATAAATTATGAAGGCTCAGAATTGTGTACAGCAGGATATCACTGTGTAAAGCATAGTGTGGAAAGAATATATGTATCTGGAAGGATCACAAGAAACTGGTAGTACTGGCTACCTCTTTTAAGGTGATTCAGGTGAGAGAGGAAAACATATTACCTATTCAAAAGTAAAATTAAAATTAATTTAAAATAAAGAGAAATTTTACTAATTTAAATAAATTTATTTATAACAAAGCAAAGAAAATAATTAAATTTTCTTAATTTAAATAAAGAAGCAAAGATAGCAACCAAACGCAAATAAAAAATTTGGGGGAGACAGTTCTCCATGGGTGTCTCATGTTTCTGCATGTTTTGGACCATATTTTCAAACATGTTTGTAAGAGCGAATAGCCCTGGAAGATAAAGACAATGTCACCTCCAGAGAAAAGGACAGACATGACTACTTCCCATGATAAAAGATTTAGTTTCCCAAAGCTGAGGAGTTCCCTATTCCGCAATGCAACTCACTGAGTGTGCAGATGTTACCTGGCCCTCTTGGGCTTAAGGAACTGACACAAGAAAATGCTGATATTCTAGCTATTGTTATTGCTATGAGTAATAAAGTTCCTTGATTTTGATTAAGGACTCATATACTCTGTGGGAATCCATAAAACTGTAGCCAGGCTAACTTACTGGATTCCAAGTAGGCTATAATCTCAGACCATTTACAGTTTCTAACAAGTATAAGTAAAAAAAAATTAAAAAAATAAAGCAGAATCTAAGGCTAAAAGCTTTACATGGGATAGAGATGACTACTTTGTAACATAAAAAAATTCAATCCAACAAGAACATGAGTCATAAATATTTGTGCAAACAACACAGTTATGAAATATATAAGGCCAGAAAACATCGCTGCAAGGCAAATAATACCAAAACAACCAAGAGACTTTAAAAATGAGAAAAAGTTGATAAAACCACAGTCACCGTAGAGATATTTTAATAAACTTCTTTAGACCAAACAGAAGTAAGGATACAAAATATTTCAATAATACAACCAAATTCAATTATGGGAAGTACACACACATCCACACATATTTTCTAATACATACATACATACATATACATATCTACACATATGGGTCAGAGAAATGCAGATTTTACACTCCACAAAAGAAAATATATATGCTTCTCTTACATTGACAATTTCCAGAACTCAATGATGTACTTGGCCACACAGAAAACATCAAAACATTAAAAATATATAGACAAGTATGGACAGCTTTCTCTAATATCAAGATCAAAATGACATCCCATTATACAATCTCCCCTAAATTTTATTTGCAATTATAATGCATCTTTTCTACTTAATCTCTGAATGAAAAAGTTAAAAATTAAATGAGAAATTAGCCTAAAATACTTTCATTATTAAAACTTTCATTATTTTCCCTTATTATTTTTGTTACTTTAAAAACACTTAAAATATTAAGAATTAAATACAGTTCCTCCCAAAACAAAGCCACTGTGTTAACACTGCCCACCCAGAAACCAAACTACTCAGTGGCTGAGAAGATACATCTTACAGCCACCTCTGAGGCAAATCCAAGGCAGTGCTATGTATAATCAGGGCAATGTTGACATAAAGCGGGGAGGGGAGCACTTTTAAAAGTTTTATACAAGTAATATGTAGTCATTGGAAAAATACTCACAAGCCATTTCTTTACCAATCTCCTCTAAAATGTTTCCTGAACTCAACAAAATATTCAAGCATTTTTGTAGTATCTTTACTCCCTCCTTTAGAAAAATCATAACAATCACATTTTATAATTTTCACATTTGCCAACATCAACATCTGTAGCATACGGTTTACAGCAGCTAAGCACTCTTATAATCTCTTTACCCCTGAATTGAGTCACTACACTGCTAACCCTCAAGTTGTTTCCAGCACTCACTAAACGCAGCTCACTGTTTCTTTATAAAGCCTCTGACACCTGCCTCTTTGCCCTTCCAACACATCACCTACACCCTGAACATGTAAAGTAATGAACCAATCTCCAAACTAGTCTTTAAATAAACTATTTTCCTTATAAATGCTTTTGCATACTAATATACGATATTCCAAGTTCCAAACAGTTTACAAAAGAACTTCATCATACAGCTATAATTTATCTTTTTGCCTTCAATTTTCTTTTAGCATTCTTTCTTGCCCCCAACTATACCTGCCCAGTTCTCTCTAAACGTGGCCTTCCTTTCTCTCAAATCTTCATCCTTTCAAGAATGAAGAACGAATTTAAAAACTAATTTATTTTTTACTATATGTATACGTATATATAACTATACATATGAATATAATGATTCTGGGACAGGCGCGGTGGCTCTCACCTGTAATCCCACCACTTTCGGAGGCTGAGGCGGGCAGCTCATGAGGGCAAGAGATCAAAACCATCCCAGCCAACATGGTGAAACTCCATCTCTACTAAAAAATACAAAAAATTAGCTGGGCGTGGTGGCGCACACCTGTAGTCCCAGCTACTTGGGAGACTGAGGCAGGAGAACTGCTTGAACCTGGGAGGCAGAGGTTGCAGTGAGCCAAGATCACATCACTGCACTCCAGCCTGGCGTCTGATGACAGAGCAAGACTCCATCTCAAAAATAATAATAATAATAATAATAATTCTGTAAAAGGGTAAAACTGCTGACAGATGTGGGCTGAGTCATAGCTAATGCTCCTTAATAGAGGAAACACAAAAATGAGATAAATTTGGAAATGTATTTTATTCCTTTAAAATGAGATTTCACTAATACCACATCTTAATGAAAATAAGAACTGTGACCAGGAGAACAAAAGCTTTTAAAGTTTGAGGACAGCTATGCTGTTTCACTTGGCTTCTTGTACTGTTTTCTCTCTTCTTTCTTTTTAAACTCAAGAAAGTTTTCTTGGAATGTTGGAATGATACAAAAATCAACCTTATGAAAGTGAGAGAAGGAAAATGAGACCCCTCACACAAGGCAGGGTTAATATAAAGATTTGTGAAATGATGAGGTAAATTAAAAACCAGTAAACAAAGAAAACAGACGTCACATTCCTTCTCAGATGTTACTAATGAAACCAGAAATGGAACCTCAATCCTACTTCAGGTCTCCTAGATCCATCAGAACTTCCTTTCTTTTCTTCAAACTAAGTATTTTTATTTTAATTTATCTTCTATGCATCTTCTTTTAACATAAGCCATAAAGAAAAAAAAAGTACCTCAACATAAATACATTTATTCGTGTGTATTAAAATATTTCTATTTCTATACAGACTATAAAAGGTTCTGCGCTTCTACAAAGATTAATTTCTGCTAGAATCCTAGTAAGCAATTTGTCATCAAATCTAAACTTTGTATGTCGGTTGGGTAGGCTTATAAAAAGTAGAAATATTATATATTTTCCATTAAACTGTAGCTTTAAGTTGTCACATATGACAGCAGTAGTTTTCTAATTATCCTCCCACTCCCTACACACTTACATTATAGGACTCATACTGTCATGCAAGACTTGTAGACTTCTAACTTGGAATTAAACAACTATGAGATTTTTAAATAAAATATCAAAAAAAAAATTTCGATTTGTTAGCATGTTAGATAATAGAGTTTCCCACCCCCCCCAAAGCAATCTATAGATTTAATGCAATTCTATCAAACTACTAAAGTCATTTTTCACAGAATCTGAAAAATACATTCTCAAATTCATACAGAACCAAAGAAGAGACTGAATAGCCAGAGCAAACCTAAGCAAAAAGAACAAAGCATCACATTACCTGACTTCGAACTACACTACTGGCTATAGTAACCAAAACACCACCGTACTGGTACAAAAACAGACACAAAGACCAACGGAACAGAGGAGAGATCCCTGAAATAAAGCCACATACCTCAAACCAACTGATTTTCCACAAAGTCAACAAAAATAAACAAGGGAAAACGGACACCCTGTTCAATGAAGGGTGCTGGAGAAACTGCCTAGCCATATGCAGAAGAATGAAACTGAACCCTTACTTTTTACCATATATCAAGATGAATTAAAGATTTAAATGTCAGACTTCAAACTATAAAAATTCCAGAAGAAAAACCAGGAAAAACTAGTTTTTGGACATTGGCCTAGACAAAAAAATAAGACCTAAAAGGCAAATGCAACAATAATAAAACTGACATTTGGGACTTAATTAAAGAGCTTCTTCACAGTAAAAGAAATTCCAACAGAGAAAAAAGACAACCTACAGAATAGGAGAAAATATTTGCAAGCTATGTACCAACAAAGGCCTAATATCCTGAATCATAAGGAACTTGAAACAAGCAAAAACAAATAACTGCATTAAAAAGTGGGCAAAGGACATGAAAAGACACTTCTCAAAAGAAGACACATAAGCAGCCAATACACGTATGAAGAAATGCTTATCACCACTAATCATCAAAGAAATGTAAATCAAAACCACAATGAGATACCATCTCACTCGAGTCAGAATAACTACTGTCAAAAAGTCAAAATGTGGGCCGGGTACGGTGGCTCATGCCTGTAATCCCAACACTTTGGGAGGCCGAGGCAAGCAGATCACCAGGGCAGGAATTCAAGACCAGCCTGGTGAAACATGGTGAAACCCCATCCCTACTAAAAATACAAAATTAGGCAGGTGTGGCGGTGGGTGCCTGTAATCCCAGCTACTGGGGAGGCTGAGGCAAGAGAACTGCTTGAACTCAGGAAGCAGAGAGGTTGGAGTGAGCTGAGATTGCGCCACTGCACTCCAGCCTGGGCAATAAGAGTGAAACTCTGTCTCGGGGGTGGGGGGGTCAAAATGTGGCCAGGTGCAGTGGCTCATACCTGCAATCCCAGCACTTTGCAAGGCCATCATGGGCAAATCACCTAAGGTCAGGAGTTCAAGACCAGCCTGGCCAACATGGTGAAACCCTATCTCTACTAAGAATATAAAAATACAAAAATTAGCCAGGTGTGGTGACAAGCACCCATAATCCCAGCTACTCGTAAGGGTGAGGCAGGAGAACTGCTTGAACCCAGGAGGCGGAGGTTGCAGTGAGACAAGATTAAGCCACTGTACTTCAGCCTGAGCAACAGAGTGAGACTCCATCTCAAAACAAAAAAAAGTCAAAACATAACAAAGTTTGGTGAGGATATGGAGCAAAGGCAACACTTACACACTACTGGAGGGAATATAAATTAGTTCAGCCCCTGTGGAAAGCAGTATGGAGATTTCTCAAAGAACTAAAACCAGTACTACCATTCGACCCACAATCCTACTACTGGGTATCTTCCCAAAGGAAAAGAAATCATTCAACCAAAAAGACACCTGCACTCCTATGTTTATTGGCAGCACTATTCACAACAGCATAGTCATGAAATCAACCTAGGTGCCCTCAATGGTGGACTGGATAAAGAAAAAGTGGTGCACATACACTACGCAGCCATAAAGAAAAAGGAAATAATGTCATTTGCAGCAATATGGATGCAGCTAGAAGCCATTATCCTAAGTAAATTAACGCAGAAACAGAAAATCAAATACAGGTATGTTCTCAAGTGGGAGCTAAACAATGGGTACACACAGACATAAAGATGGAAACAACAGATGCAGGGAACTCCAGAAGTGGGAAAAGAGGGAAGGAGACAAGAGTTGAAAAACTACCTATTGAGTACTATGTTCACTACTTGGGGAACGGGTTTACTAGAAGCCCAAATCCCAGCATTACACAATAGATCAATGTAATAAACCTGCACAGGTACCTCACCTCCTCCACCTAAATTTTTTTTAAAAAGGTAACAGGGCATCTACTGTATGTTTACCTCTCAAAGTCAAGGGTAATATTTCTTTGTAATAGCAACAGCACTCATTACCTGTGAAAAACTATGTGTGAAAAGCTATGAAGACGGGTACTATTTCTAGTCTCATTTTCTTATAAGAGAGAAAACCAAGACTCAGATTACATTCCTATTAAGTAACAGAAGTAGAATCTGGACTCAGCAAGCTCAATTCAAAGTTCGTACAAAGTACTGCTACACTTCGTAACAATTTAAACACAAACTGGTGCTACTTTTGGGGCAGCTATGTGTATTTACAGAAGGGAAGTAAAATTAAAATTAGTGCCATATAAAATGGGCTTACAATTTTGGTAACTGGATGAAACGGTAACTAATGTAAAGTTTCTTATCTTGCCATTTCTGATCCATTATCTTTATAAAGTAAACATCTGACAAATTTCAAATTACTCCATAAAACAAGAAGCATTTTAGAAATGTTAACACAAATGGAACAAAGTAAAATATTATTTTTCAGGTTACAATAACATTTTTCTCTTTTTGTTTCCTATCTGTGGTTTACGGTGTCTCCAGGTATGGATTCATTTTTATTTATGCCAGTTAGGACCACTGTGCTCCTTCAATCCAAGAATTTCTAGCTTTCAGCAATTCTGTAGGGTTCTCTGCCATTTCCCTTCAAATACTGCCCCTCCACAATTCCAGCTCTTTTTCTGCAATTTTTATATGTATGGTGTATGCTCTCATCCCAGGCTCTCTCTCATATGTTCCATGCTTCCCTCTCTATTACCCTCTGTGTAATCTCCTCAGACCTACCTTATACTTGACTAACTCTCCTTGCAGTTCTGTCGAATCTGCTGCTTAACCTATCTATTCAGCAAGATTCCAATTTTAATGATTAATATCTAGTTAACTCTGTATCTTTTTCAAAACTTCCTGTTCTTTACAGTGTCTTATTTTTCCCATATTTCCTATTCATCTGTTTATAATTTTAACAATGTGAAAATAAAGCTGTTTGTAGTCATTTTTAAAGTTCTTGGGGGTGATAATTCTCACATCTGCTGACTCTCACTCATTTGTCATTTTTCATCACAAGTTCACCTTCAACACAGACTGTATGTTAGTAGAGGAATCCCATATGGGTTTAGGAACAGTTCTGGATTTGTTTCTGCCAGGCTCTTCTGGGATAGCACCTACTTTGAGATTTTTCTGTAAGGCAGTGAAAGGGATTTGACATTTTCTATTTCCTTTAACATCACTTCATGGACAACAGTCAATCTGTAGTATAAAAATAACTCTTCAGTTCTGCCTCATAATGTAAGGTTTACCAAGTTACTTAAGGCTACAATTAGGGATCCACATTTAAGTTAAAACTCAACCACAGAAACCACTACTGTACGTAAATGAGCAGAGATGTCAAATCAGAGAACAGAAACTGGCCACAGAAGGCAAAGTTCACACATGTTCAGGCAGCGATAACTTAGACTTTCTTATTTAAAATTCTGCTTAGCAGCTGGCAAGTTTTCTTTTTTCTTTTTAAATTTCAGTTTTAAAAAAATGCCAATATGCCAATTTCAGAAAGCATCCTAAATTCCAAAAGATTAAAATGTGTTTTCAGGGGACAATCTTAAAACCAAGAAAAGGTAGTATATAAGGCAGAAGGCAGGCTTCTAACTTATAACGCATACCTTGGAAGACCAGATTATATCTACAGTGGGAAAAAATATGCTCTTTTCTGCGAACATGTTAGACAGGAATCCAGATTATTAGCAGACTGCATGTGCCAGCTAGAATCAAGGTGCTAACAGCCTGATACAATCACCTGCAATATTTGGGTGAGCTTGACAAAACAGATTCTCCCATGGACAGTGTAGAAACTGGGATATTTTTTCATCACTTTTATTGCAGAACAAATTGCCTTCCAACTGACTCAATCTTTCTCCAAACACGTTTACTTTAGCAGGATAATAGTCACATCTTGCTCTGTCCGTAGAGTTGGTCTTCTTTCTGATGATTCTAAAGAGCTCTGTTTCAATTCACAAGTTTGAAATTTAACTCCCAGAAGACAACTTCATTTCAAGTTGTACCTCTTCTAAGTACACATGCATAAACATAGTACCAACTACAAGTAAAACAAAGATTCCTTAAATATAAATAAGTCTTACTGCCTTGAATCATAGAAGTCTAATGTAAAAACTGAACCATATATAGTATAAAGTATATCATGATCTGGTATAGTTTAAAGACCAATACAATCAAGACTAAGAACTGCTATATCAAAACTACAATGAGGTATCATCTCACCCCACTTAAAATGGCTTTTATCAAAAAGACAGGCAGTAACATGCTGGCAAGGGTGTGGCAAAAAGGGAACACTGTTGGTGGGAACGTAAATTAGTACAGCCACCATGGAGAACAGTACAGAGGTTTCTTAAAAAACTAGAAAGAAAACTACCATATGATCCAGCATTCCTGTTACTGGATATATACCCAAAAGAAAGGAAATCAGTATATCAAAGAGATATCTGTACTCCCATGTTTACTGCAGTACTATTCGCAATAACCAAAACATGCAATCAACCTAAGTATCTACCAACAGATGAATGGATACAGAACATGTGGAAACAATGGAAAATTATTCAGCCATGAAAATGAATGAAATTCTGTCATTTGCAACAACATGGATGGAACTGGAGGCCATTAAGTGAAATAAGCCAGGCACAGAAAGACAAATATATTTTCACTCATTATGTGGGAGCTTAAAAAACAAAACAAAACTCATCTCATGGAGACAGAGAGAAGAATGATAGTTACCATAGTTACCAGAGGCTGGGAAGGGTACTGGGGAAGGGGAAATATAAAGATATTTGATTAATGGGTACAAAAGGCCGGGCGCGGTGGCTCACGCCTGTAATCCCAGCACTTTGGGAGGCCGAGGCGGGTGGATCACGAGGTCAAGAGATCGAGACCATCCTGGTCAACATTGTGAAACCCCGCCTCTACTAAAAACACAAAAAAAAATTAGCTGGGCATGGTGGCGCGTGCCTGTAATCTCAGCTACTCAGGAAGCTGAGGCAGGAGAATTGCCTGAACCCAGGAGGCGGAGGATGCGGTGAGCCGAGATCGCGCCATTGCACTCCAGCCTGGGTAACAAGAGCGAAACTCCGTCTCAAAAAAAAAAAAAAAAAAAAGATGGGTACAAAAATAGTCAGACAGAAAGAATAAGACCTAGTGTTTGGAAGCACAACAGGACAACCATAGTTAACAATAATTTATTGTGTATTTCAAAATAACTAGAAGAGTAGAACTGAAATGTTCCTAACACAAAGAAATTATAAATGCTTGAGGCGATAGACATCCCAATTATGCTAATTTGAACATTACACATTGTACATCTGTATCCAAATATCACATGTACCCCCATAAATCTACTATTATGTACACATAAAATAAAAATTTTAAATAAGACTAAGAATTTACTAATAATATTTAGTTCATTGTTTGGCTTGTTCTAAATATTCTAGAAGATAAGGGGCAAGGAAATGAAGACAGTCTCTATACTCATAAGATTTATATTAGGTTCACAGACTATACAAGGAATTATTAGGTCCATAAACTCAAAAATGAAGCATCCATGAAAGAGGGAAAAATATACGAAATAGGCAGTTCTTGACATTAAGGCAATCAATGTTGATGAACGCTCACTGTGGCATTCTAAATTTTTATCATGCTGCCAAAATACCATCTGTAATAGATAATGCCACCCACATCATTCAAAATATTCCCTGCCCTGACAGCCTTGGGCTTCCCATCGGGACTTCTGCTGAGCCAGCTGCCCAAGCCCTGAGAGCTTCTACCTGCTCAGCCAATTTCTTCTTCAGGTACTAGGATTTATTTCAAATATTATCTCTGTGAGAAAGAGTCTGAAACTCTAAATCATCAACTTATATTTGAATTTCTAGAACTCATCTAATTTGGGGCTTATCTATATAAATATATCCAGCCTGAAGAAAACAAGCCACTATTCTTCTTGCTAACTATGTATGTTTATAGATAGTTAAATTAACGTTCACTTAACAAATAAATTTCAAAATTTCAGATCTAGCTACCTTGGAAAAGGCTGCAAAAAGTGTAAGTTAAATGAGCACTATGTTGAAAACCAATGTTCTTGTTTGAGCACTAACACAGTTTAGAGGCCCAATATATCTGATGCATCTCTCTACGGAATCAACATGTAGGAATTCAAATATAAAACTGCGAGGAATCCAATTGATTAAAAAGATTCCGTTTTAGAGATGCTCTGACTTTACCTTGTTCCACTTTATAACAATCCTAGATGGTTTGCCTAGGTATTAAAGAAGCCAATTTTCATTTGGATTCATCACCTGTGATAGAACTCTTGGTGGGGAGGGGGGAGGGTTCTGCCTTTAAAACAAGGTGGTATTAGAATTCTCCTTGCCTATGATAGGAAAGTCATTAATCCGATACCTCTCTGTAACCCTCCACATCTGTCCAGGCAAAACTTCCTTCTCCTTCACTTACTCATAACTGGCCACTGTCCAAGGGTTAGTTTTAAAACCTCAAAAACTATGTACAGTTTTTATTAAGAAATTGTATTTGCTTCTTGCTGTGAATGTTTATACAGTTAATACACACTTTGAATTTTTTATCTCCACAAAATAAAAAATAAAAGAAGCCAGGCATTGTGGCATGTACCTGTAGTCCTAGCTACTCGGGAGCTGAGGTAGGAGGATCACTTGTGCCCATGAGTTTGAGGCTATAGTATGCCATTACTGTGCCTATAAATAGCTACTGAGCTCTAGCCCAGGCAACACGGCCAAACCCTGACTCTAAAATAATAATAATAATAATTTTTTAAAGATATCAGTCAACAACTTTAAGAATGGCTACAACTTTATTAACTTTTTGAATGACATTCACTAATTTCTAGATTGAAATACTGTTAAATATTTAAAACTCGAAATCTTTGGTTGTTACAGTATCCCCAAGCAGAAGGTTACATATTAGTTATATTAGTTCTTAAGACACCAAACAAGTGATCCAGCAGAAAAGTTTAATGATTTAGACACAGTTAAATCAGGAAATTAAAAACCGTAAAACTGTCAAATATCCAAACAGAACCAAAAACAAGCAATGAGGAAAGGATTCCCTATTCAATAAATGATGCTGGGATAACTGGCTAGCCATAAGCAGAAGGTTGAAACTGGACCCCCCTGCCCTACTTCCTTAAACCATATACAAAAATTAACTCAAGATGAATTAAATACTTAAATGTAAAATCCAAAACTATACAAACCTTGGAAGACAACTTATGCAATACCTGTGTAGACAAAGGAACAGGCAAAGATTTCATGAGAAAGCCACCAAAACCAACTGCAACAAAAGCAAAAATTGACAAATGGGATCTTATTAAAGAGCTTCTGCACAGCAAAGAAAACTATCAACAAAGTGAACAGAAAATCTACAGAATGGGAGAAGAACTGTGCAAACTATGCATCTGACAAAGGTTTAATATCCAGCATATATAAGAAACTTAAAATTACAAGAAAAAAGCAAACAACCCCATGCAAACGTGGGCAAAGGAGATGAACACTTTTCAAAAGAAGACATAAATGTGGCCAAGAATCATGAAAAAAAGCTCAACATCACTGATCCATTAGAGAAATGCAAATCTAAATCACAAGGAGATACCATTTCAAATGTCAGAATGGCTGTTATTAAAAAGTCAAAAAATAATACATGCTGGAGAGGATGCAGAGAAAAAGGAACACTTAACACACTATTGCTGGTGGGAGTTCAACCACTGTGGAAGACAGTGTGGCAATTCCTCAAAGACCTAAAGACAGAAATATCATCTGACTCATCAATCCTACTACTGGGTATATATCCAAAGGAATATAAATCTTTTTGTTATAAGACACATGCATGTCTTATGTTCACTGCAGCACTGTTTACAAGAGCAAAGACATGGATCAACCTAAATGCCCATCAATGATAGGCTGGATAAAGAAAATGTGAGTTAATATGCACCATGTGAATACTACACAGCCATAAAAAAGAAAGAGCATGTCCTATGTGGAAACATGGATGGAACTGGAGGCCATTATCCTCAGCAAACTCACGCAGAAACAGAAGAGCAAATTCCACATGTTCTCACTTATAAGTGGGAGCTAAATGATGAGAACACATGGACATATAGAGGGGAACAACACACACTGGAGCCTGTCAGAGGGTGGAGAGTTGGAGGAAGGAGAGAATCAGAAAAAATAACTGATGGGTCCTAGGCTTAATACCTGAGTGATAAAGTATCTGTAAAACGAATCCCCGTGACACAAGTTTACCTATATAACAAACCTGCACATGTACCCCTGAACTTAAAAGTTAAAAAATTGTTAAATATAATACACAAAAAGTCTGTAGTCTAGATATATTACACAAAAAGTAAATGTACAGAATACTAAGACTGTGTGTAAAAATATTATTATGTGATAAAACATATTTGCGATTTTCTTTTTTTTTTTTTTTTAGGGAGGGAAAGAGGAAGGGAGGAAGGCAGGAAGGGAGGGAAGGAGGAAGGGAGGGAGGAAGGAAGAAAGGGATGAAGGAAGGAAGGGAGGAAGGCGGGGGAGGGAAGGAGGGTGGGAAGGGAAGGTAGGAATTCAAGCAATGAGAGAGACATTGCCGACCTGGATCTAGAGGTTTACAAGTTGATTTCTTTATTTGAGAGAAGGAAAGAAAAAAAAATGAGTAAAGGAGAGAAAGAAAGAGGAAGAGAGAGAGGGAGGGTGAATGGAAATATTGCTTTATTTTGAAAAAAAAAAAATGGGTATTAATAATGGCCAATCAATGTTTCATTTAAACCTATGAGTAGGTGTGATGTGGTATTGACAAGAATGTATATTTTATGTATTTGAAGTGGAGAGCTCTATAAATATTTATTAAGTTTACTTGTTCCGGATCTGAGTTCGAGTCCTTGATATCCTTATTAATTTTCTGTCTCATTGAATCTAAGTCTCTATGTATCTGGGTGTTAGGATCGTTAGCTCTTGTTGTACTGATCCTTTTACCACTATATCTTTGTTGCTTTAAAATCTATTTTATCCGCTACGAGAATTGCAACTCCTGCTATTTATTTATTTATTTATTTATTTATTTATTTATTTATTTATTTTTGCTCTCCATTTGGTTGGTAAATCTTTCTCCATTCCTTTGTTTTGAGTCTTTGTGTATCCTTGCATGTGAAACAGGTCTGGATGTAACATGCTGTTGGGTTTTGACTGTGTCTTTTGATTGGGGGATTTAGTCAACTTAAATTTAGGGTTATTGCCATTTGATGTTAACTGGCTGTTTGATCCATTTGTTGATGTAAATTCTTCTTCATGTTGGTGCTCTTTACTTTTTGGTATATTTTTAGTAAGGCTAATACTGGTTGTTTCTTTCTGTGTGTAATGCCTCTTTCAGAAGCTCTTGTAAAGCAGGCCTGGTGGTAATAAAATCTCTGAGTACTTGCTTGTTCGTAAAAGATTTTATTTTTCCTTCAGTTGTGAAGCTTAGTTTGGCTGGATATGAAATTCTGGGCTGAAGGTTCTGTTCTTTGAGGATGTTGAATATTGGCCCCCACTCTCTTCTGACTTGTAGAGTTTCTGCTGAGAGATCTGCTCTAAGTCTGATAGGCTTGCCTTTGTGGGTAACCTGACCTTTCTCTCTGACTGCCCTTAGTATTTTCTCCTTTGTTTCAACCCTGGTGAATCTAATGATTATGTGCCTTGAGGTTGCTCTTCTTGAGGAATATCTTTGTGGTGTTCTCTGTATTACCTGGGGTTGAATATTGACCTGCTTTGCTAGTTTAGGAAAATTTTCCTGAATAATATCCTGAAGGGTATTTTCCAGCTTGGATTCATTCTCTCCGTTGCATTCAGGTACACCCATCAAACGTAAATTTGGTCTTTTCACATAGTCCCACACTTCTTGGAGACTTTGCTCATTCCTTTTTATCCTTTTATCTCTAATCTTGTCTTCTTGTTTTCTTTAAGTTGGACTTTGACCTCTGTTATCCCTTCTTCTGCTTGAACAATTCAGGTGTTTAAACCTGTGCATACTTCTCAGAGTTCCTGTATTGTATTCTTCAGTTCCATTAATTCACTTATATTCCTCTCTAAGTTGTCTATTCTCAATAGGATTTCGTCAAACCTTTTTTCAAAGTTCCTAGTTTCTTTACTTTGGGCTACAACATGTTCTTTTAACTCACAGAAGTTTCTTATTATCCATTCCTTGAAGAGTGATTCTGTCATTGGGATGCGTTCGTTCTCCGTCAAGCCTTGTTCCATTGTTGATGTGGAACTGGGATCATCTTTAGAGGGAGAGGCATTCTGACTTTGAGTATTCTCAGCCTTTATACGCTGGTTTCTTCCCATCATTGTAAATTTATCCTCCTGTCGTCTTTGAAATTACCAACTTTCAGATTAGGTCTCTTGTTTGGATGTCCAAGTTGTTAGTTCCCAGGGCCAAAACAGCAGCGTTAAGACTGATGGTGCTTTTCTGCCCAGGATTCTCCTGTCTGGCTTCCTTCTTGCGTCTGTAATGGGCGACTCTGCCTTCCCCGGGCTCCAAACCTCGGTCAGAAGGGGAACCAGTCTCGTTTACTCTGCACCGAGAGCTACCGTGCTGAGGTGCCGCCACAGCCGCTGCGCCGGTCTCAGGAGTCGTGCTGGGGACCCGTGTGGGTCCTCCAAACCGTGGTCAGAAGGGGAGCCAGCCCTATTTACTCTGCTCCAAGAGCTGCCGCGCCGAGGTGCCGGTGTAGCCGCTACACTGGCCACAAGAGTCGCACTGGCGGCCCATGTGGGTCCTCCAAGCCTCAGTCAGAAGGGGAGCCGGGCCTGTTTACTCTGCTCCGAGAGCTGCCGCGCTGAGGTGCCGGCAAAACCGCTGCGCCAGCCACAAGAGTTGCACTGGCGACCTGTGTGGTTCCTCCACTGGGGATCTTCTGCTCCGTGAGCGACCAGAATTTGTCTGAAAGCATGGCATCCTCTAGTTCTCTGCGCTTTGACTGAGAGCTGCAATCCCAAGCTGTTATCGATCAGCCATCTTGGATCGTCTCATATTTGCAATTTTCAAATTGAAAGCCAGAGGCTTACCATTTACTGATATTTAAAGGCACTCATATTAACATAAACAATTATGGAGTATAATGATAAGACAGTGGAGCAAACATGAAAAACAAACCCAAACACTTTTAGTCTCAAATTTTGAATTTTGAATGAGAATGCTTTCTGCTTCCTAAATAACTGATCTTCAAGAAGATAATGCAAAGTAGCCAATTAATTTCATAATGCAAATCTGTTAGGATATAATCAACAGATACATTTACTATGCCAAGTAATTGCTGAAAGCCACTTTCACATTTCATCAGCAAATGAATGGGAAAAAGTGTCTATTGTCACCGCTGTAATAGTGTGGCTAAAACACCACCATACTAGAGACTGAAAGAGAGGGAAGAATTGAGAGACTGACTCCTAAGTCAACTTGCAAAACACTATCCAAAGTAATATGCTCATTTCAATGTTATATTCTCTCCTTCCCAACATTTTTCTTACCTGAGTAGAAATCTCAGATAAGTGCTAATATATCTACTAAGTTTTTCACAGAACACTTTTATTTAACCAATAATTCTTAGCTCAGAGAACAGTGACTATTATTAGTAGGCTCTAAGCCCCATTTCTGTTCATTCACTACTATATCTCTAATTCCTAACACGGTACCTCGCACATAATAGATGCTCAAAATATACACTGAATTTAGCCAATCTTTCAATTGGCTATACTGTTTACTGGTACCCTTTCTACACATTTTGTTCCAAGCCAAAATTTACATCTTTAAAAAAACAAAATTTCTCTTAAGCTTTTGAAGTCTGTTTCTCCATAAAATTTTGAAAAAAAAAAAAAAAAAAAAAAAACCTTATATTTTTCCTTTATTTTATTCTCCTCATTAGTCAGGACAGAACTAGTTGACTTTACCTCCTCCCACTTTTCTAAAGTATGCCAAGACTACATTTACAATCTTTTTTTAGGTTTTGGAATATCTAGAGATTTTGCTCAGAAAAGAATGGTACAGTCTAAAGCACCAGCCTTAACAAAAATACCAGTTAGCTTCCAGAGCTCACAGATTGAATTTAAAGGCACTCATGTTAAACATAAACAATTATGGGAGAAAATGTCTATGGGAGGAAAGACAGAGACAGATATGCACAGTATAGGTAGTTCTGGGTTTCTCTTAAAGACTTTTTCTCCCATTAGCCATCTATTTACTCTATTTATTGAATAAACTTTTATCCTCCCTACTCCTAAATATGTTCCCTTCATTTACTCTATACTCTTAGATAAAAAGAAACAAGCTGCAGTTTCAACCATGCTTGCTTACTTTTGAAAATGGTCATTACAAACATTACTTTTTACTTACACTTAACCCAAAAGATTTTATTTTAATGCAGCAGTTCTCAAAGTGTGGTCCAAAGAATCTTGTAGAGTAGAAGTAGAAGAGCAAAGTAAAAACTATTTTCATGGTAACACTAAGACAGTATCTGCCTTTTCTTTTCTTTTCTTTTTTTTTTGAGACAGCATCTCACTCTGTCTCCAAGGGTGCAATGCAGTAGCGTGATCTCGGCTCACTGCAACCTCCACCTACCAGGTTCAAGTGATTCTCCTGTGTCAGCCTCCTGAGTAGCTGGGATTACAGGCATGCACCACCACAGCCAGCTAATATTCTGTTTCTTTTTAGTAGAGATGGGGTTTTGCCATGTTGGCCAGGCTGGTCTCAAATTCTGGACCTCAAGTAATCTACCTGCCTTGCCCTCACAAAGTGCTGAGATTACAGGCATGAGCCACTGTGCCCAGCTATATGTGCCTTTTTCATTCCCATTCTCTCCAGTATAGCAGTAGAGTTTTCCAGAGGACACAAGATGTGTCATACCACAACAAACTGAATGAAGAAGCACATGTGAGAATTTGTCATCCTCAAGCCAGATATTAAAGAATTTGTAAAAATACAGAAAATGCCACTCTTGTCACTAAATATTTTTTGTCTTAGAAAATTTGCTTTCATTTAAAAGTTGTCAGTATAATTATATTGATGTTTAATGAAATAAAAAATTTAAATTCTTTTAATTTCTAGTATGACAAATACTGACAGATATAACCCATGTGAAGAAAAATTGAGGTCCCCAATAATCTTTTGAAGGGTTAAGAAATCTTGAGATCGCTGAGTTTGAGAACCACTGCATTAGTGTGCTGGTAAAAACAGAAAACAACATCTTTCCCTCCTTCTAAATTATACTTGAAACATGAAATTCATAAAATGTAAGGTAATTTTAACTTAAAATACTATTTTAAAGCATTGGACTTACCGTTATAGGTTATTCTTGGCTTTGTTAAACACATTACAAGATGCAAATCCATTTCATCTGAGGGTACAAATTTTGAGCATACGGGGCATTTAAATCCTAAAAAGTAAAAGAAACTCAAGTTACTTAACTATTCTGAATATCCAACTATGGCTTTTAAAAAGCATGCGAGATCAAAAAGCATCTGAAACTTCAGTAGTACACTTACTGTATTACACTGTTTATGTGCAACTCAAGTCGGGAAAAGTTTGTGATTATAACATCTGACTTTGTATCAGTTTACAAAGACAATCTCCTCATCAAACAAAAAAAGAGGGGATGCAGTCCACTACAAACTCCTTTATCTCTCTCTAATGTACTCATCCAATTATTTTCTTGTTTTTAACTTTTTACATTAACCTGTACTCACGATTTCATGTAATTATAAGCTTTGAATCTGACGACTCTTCTGAAAACTGCCTTTCCCAATGTGGTATAGTACACTGTAAGTCACAAGTTTTATAGCTAAATAGTACCTTAGACACTATTCTACCTCAATAACCTTAAAAATTTATCTAATGCAGAAATGTGAAGCCTTTCAAAACCACAAAAACAGGCCTAGGATCTAAGACTCCTGACTTCCGCTTTAATGGTCTTTTGCCACACCAGGGTACTAAAGTCATAATGAAAACAGAAAATACCATCAGATCAGGGCACAGGTTTTTGCAGTCAATTTTGACACTTAAAAATTAGCTAGTTTCCTACAAGATTCAGTCTGCACTACTAAATATTTGCCTGAAGTACTCCATTAAAAATAAACTGACATACTGAAAAACGAACTCTTTGATGTATTCAGCTCTATTCTGCCCCTTCATGTACCAAGGTGAACTGCCCCACCCCTGCCTTCTTGTTGCTTAGGCAGTCCGCAGATACACCATGATCCTACTGTTCCCTCCCGTGACAGCCCTAAGCTGTTTAGATACCTGAACCCAGACAGCCAATTTATAGTTTGGCTAGGCACAAATCAGAAGTGGAACAAAAAGATGGCCTGGTCCAATCTTTTTTTTTTTTCTTGGAAATATGATTAAGAAACAGTGAGAGACTATATTGGCCAGCAGTAAAGAACTTAAGCAGAAAGGTCAAAAGTAAGTAAAAGAGAGACAGGAGTGTCCATGATGGCTCAGGTGCAAGCTGAACTCAGGAGACCAGAAACTAGGCAAGCACAGGAAAGAAGGCCACATGAAGAAGACGGAGCTAAAGTGCAGACAGTAGTAGACGCACTGGGAGAGACAACTAATAAAACAGGTGGTGAAAGAGACGTTTTGGCAACTCTAGTTCCAGCACATGTGTTCTCACAGGAACTGTCCTCCCTTCACTGTGACATGAAACTCACTGCAACCAAATGAGTGAAAGCAGAATTAAACCTCATGCTGAATCATATAAGGATTGGGAAAAAGGTTTTGGCACAACTACTCCTCCAGGTATTCAATTTCCTAAATGAAATATATAATTTTGGACAATGTTTTTCAAACAGTATTAAATGCATTTTAAAATAAAAGGTATGTTTACTTCAACTTCTTGAAAACCACCAAAAAGAGAAAGAAGAAAAAAAAAAACAGGAAAGAGGATTCGATTAAAACAAGCTTGGTCAACCCATGGCCTGAACGTGGCCCATGGCCCAACGCAAATTCGTACGCTTCCGTAAAACATTATGAGATTTTTTTTGTGTGTTGTTTTTTTTTTAAGCTGAGCAGCTATTGTTAGTGTATTTTATGTGTGGCCCACGGAAGCCAAAAGATTAGACACCCCTAAAAATGAAACTACAAAAAAGCTGTAATGGCCAAACACAGGCTACATAGAATACAGTGAAACCGATCAACTATGGGGAGAAAACAAAGAGATCCTAAAACTACAACCAGATTTTAAGCATGAGCTAATGAATTCTTGCCTTGAAACCTGAAAATTTTGCTTCCCAGAAGTTAAACTTAGCATAAAAGAAGGCAAGAGGCAACTGATTTGAATCATCAGAAAGAATCATCTGAGTACGGGCAAACAAACTTAACTCAAAAGAGCAGTATTATGAACCTAAAAAGCCTCATTTGAGAGCCATCCAACAGCCTACAAAATAGAGCCTAAGGAGAAAAACAGTAAGTGCAAAGAACCACCTGGATTTCTAGTTACATACAGTGAATGAAACACATGTTTCTCTCTTCTCCCCTCCAAAACCTACTGAAATGAAAATAAATAAAATTTTAAAATGAGTTAAAGAAGAACCTGAGAGAAGTCGGCAGCAAATGAGTAAAAAATAAATAAATGAAAGCATCAATGGCACCGAGCAAACACAGATCCTGAGTATCTGCAGAAGAAAGCCAATTCTCATTAAATAATTCCCAAAGGACTCAGGCATCTGGAGCTTCATGACTTCCCAGGACAAGAGTGATTCATGAGGCTAAAATCTAGACTGACTGAAAGCCTGAATAAAAAACAGATCCAAGCAAATACCATGCCCCCACTACAGCATGAGGATGTAGATTTAGTGTGGTAAAACAAAAAACATCAAAGAATATTCAGAACTGAGAAAACCAGGCACAGCAATGGGCAGGGAAGAAAACAGAAGAATAAACAAAGATCTACAAACTGAAAAAGGCCCCACTCCACAGCTTCCATCTCTATTCATTAAGAAATTGGTAGATTCTTCTCTTAAATCAAAAGGTCCCACAGAATGATACATCAATATCCTTGCCCTTTAATAAGCCCTATCTTTGCACATAAAGTTTACAGTCAGTGTTTTTAGGGCATCTCTTAGGCATTACGCAATAAAAGAAAAAGAAAAGATGTATGGTTAAACACATAAGAAGCAAATTCGAAAGACAAATAAATTTAAAATATTTGCAATGTATATCAAAAACAAAAGGACAATATCCTTAATGTACAAATGCTCCTTGACTTAGGATGGTAAATTGAAAGTATCATAAGTTGAAAATATATACACCTAAACTACCAAACATCATAGGTTAGTCTAGCCTACCTCAAATGTGCTCAGAACACTTTCAATATAGTATTCAATAAATTACATGAGATATTTGGCCCAGAACTACCAGAGTATCATAATGTATACTGCTAGCCCTGAAAAATATTAAAATTCAAAGTATAGTTTCTACAGAATATTTATCACCTCCACACCATTATAAAGTCAAAAATCCTAAGTTAAACATCTATATAAAGCACTCTTAAAACTGAGGAAAATTAACCCAAATACTGTTAGAAAAAATGGACAAAAGTTCTAAACAGACATCTTACTAAGAAAAGTTACGCAAAGGCTCCTTAAACAAATTTTAAAACTGTGGTATTTGAATAAAAGAAGCATTTTACTTTCAAGTTCTTTATGTTCATTTAGTCTCATTTTAGTGGGTTTGGGGGAAGAAGAGAAACATGTTTTATTCGCTGTTCTTAACTAGAAATCCGGGTGATTCTTGCACAAAATGTGTTCTCTCCTTAGGCTCTACTTTATCTCTACACTGAGGTATGATTTCTCATCCCAGGTCAGCAAAAATTAAAAAGCATGACAACACACTTTGCTGGTGAGGCTGTGGGCAAATCAATACTTTCATACACTGCTGGTAGAATGGCAAGATTGTACAATCTCTACATTTCTGGGTAGGTGGCAATATCTAACCAAACTACATATGTACTTATCTCCTGGCGCAGACCTAGAAATGTACTCTGAAGGTGTGTCCCCTATAATACAAAAAAACATATGGCAATAATTTACTGTGGCACTATTTGAAACAGTACAATACTGGAGACAATTTAAGTTATTACATACAAGAGATGTGGTGAATGCACCATGGTGCATCCACACGATGAGTACTACATAGCTGTAAACAAAAAAAGAAATGAGGAAGGTCTCTATGAACTGATATGGAGTAATGACCAGGCTATATTAAGTTAAAAAAATGCAGTGCAAACATGCAATACTAGCTATTGTGCAAAGACAAATAAGAATGCATGTACATGCATATCTGCAAAAAAGAAAAGCAAGAAGCATAACCTTCAACCTAGGGTTTACACCATGCTCCCTACAGATAGCAAGAATGTGGTGAAAGACATGGGGAAGACAGTACTCATGAGTGTACCTTTTAATAAAGTTTTTGACTTTTGAAATATGTTCATGATTTACATGTTCAAAAATAAAAACAAACCAAGAAGGATTGGCAGAAAATCCCTACCTAAAATAGAAAAAAAGCTAACTATATATCAAACTGATAACCATAAAGAAAAGTACACACACATAGCTCTGTCCAAAAAGGGCTTGGAAGCAATGACACTTCAGTAGCAGACACAGCAGACTTAGGTTTCTAAGTATCATTCCCTCACAAAATAATTAGAGCTGCTTGGAGAAATGGCTGCTTCTAGCTCTGGGGCAGTAAAAGTACAAGGTGAGCCTGGGCTATCTTGTGCCAGACCTAGGAGGTACTCAAAAACTGATATGGACATATAAAACGGCACAAAAAGACACCTGTACTTATATCTCTATCACAGCACTACTCACAGTAGCAAAGATAAACCAACCTAAGTGTCCATCAACAGATGATCAAATAAAGAAAGTGGGTATATATACACAATAGATTACTATTCAGCCATAAAAAAAATGAAATCACGTCTTTTGCAGCACCATGGACAGAACTGGAGGTCACTGTCTTAAATGAAACAACTCAGAGAGACAAATACCATATTTTCACTTGTAAGTGGCAGCAAAATAATGTGTACCGATAGTGTGTGGAATGACAGGACAATGGAGATTTGGAAGGGGGGCCTAGCAGGGGTGGATAAGAAATTACTTAATTAATACAATGTACATTATTCAAATAATGAATACACTAAGAATCCTGACTTCACCACGACTCAATATATCCATGTACATTTATACAACTAAAAAATAAAAATAAATAAAAATTAAAAGGCACAGAAGCCAGTTTGAAAGGGCTCCTCCTTGCCAAATCTGGACAATCCAATAACCGAAATGAATAACGACATAGATCACAACATATTAAATTTAAAAAGAATGCAAAAGTACATATTAATAATTATATACTCTAAAAGTATCAATCCAAGGTCAC